AACAGTCTTGAACTCTTCTATATAAATTCCGTGTATAAAAGGCTTCATAAGACGAGTAGAGAGGTACAAAAGATCTGGTGCGCTGTGGCTCTGTCACTGAGTGATTTTTCAAAATATGGAGGAATCGCAGAAAGTCTTGAAGTCTTCCCAAAATATTTAGGATTAAAAAGCTTAAGTAAGTCAGTACAGCCGTACGTAAAGGAGCTCCCTCAAAAGATTCATAGAAAGCTTCTCCTGTTCGAGGTCCCCGATATGTTTTCATGCTTAAAGTAACTCAAAAGAATAATTGCAAAATCCAAGGTCAGGAAACCAACTGTTAAACAGTCCGCCTTGGACTTTAGAGTAAATTGTTGCTAGGTTGAATTTTCGATTTCATTTATTATAACATAAAAACAATATCCGGTATCAGTCCTAAATGTGAGTGGAAATAGTTAGAGCTAAAAACGTTGACTGAATGACTCTAAAATATAGTGGCCAGAAACGGAATTTCTTAACGAACGGATTGATGGGCGACCAGGCAGATGAGATCGTAGTGTGTAAACGTTATTATGGATACTGCACAGAAATAATGGAGCAAGCTTCATCTAGATCTGAAAGACTAGACAGACAACAGGCTCAGTGGAATGGCGAAACCGCCTAGCCGATTGTCATTCATACTCTTTATTCATAACGCGGTCAATAATACGGACGATTTCTTAATACTTCCGATGGGACCCACACAAATACCGTAGAAGGCTTCTAGAGTCCTTTAAAGAAGAAAATCAAAATAATAATTGAGTCGAAAAACAAGAGTATTTGCAGTTACATCGATGATTATATGCACAGAAATTGTTTTAACCTGACTATGCGAAGTCTAATGAGAAATCGGTTTTTCTTGTTCCAGGTCTACGGTCTGGAAACTTATAATAGTTAATTTTAAATATGCGTGGTCGGTCAGAACAAAAGATCAAGTGAGATGAAATGATTCTATGTTGTATGCATACATATATTAGTACAGTCTGAAAAAGTAAATGTTTCGAGGGTGGTTGTAATCAGCGCTGTGTGAGACAAAACGAATACTGCAGAAAGTAAACCAACAAGTGAGGTGAACTAGATGCAGGTTAAGGGCTTAAAATAACAACAGTAATAGCGATTGTGAAATAATAGCAATGATGTAGTGTAAATTTCAAAGTACTATTGGTGAAAGGTTATCAGATAATAACAATAAAGAGTTTAGTGAAGTGAAACGATCAGGATTTTGCAGATATGATAACAAGTTAGGAAGACATTACTCAAACCAAAGGTAATAGAAATCATAAGAAAGCTCATAAAGTCGTAAGAGGTCAGAAACGAACCTTCGTCAACGAAACAGAGGGAAAGAAGAAAAGAAAAAATTGTGGTAGAAACTTAAAGTGCCAATGTATGTGGAGGATTTTTTGATCTTATTATGGGCCAAGGTAAACAGCAGTTGAACATACTCCTTTTGCATACAAAGAGCCAGTCATATGGCATTGATTGAAACTGATTCAGCTACTGATAGAAGGCGTAGTCGACCTCCTCTGAGTGGATTACCAGGGACGCAGTAAATGACTGAGAATGCCTGGCCAACTTTTGTCGGGTATCCAGTATCTACCAATTGGTCTGAGATTGCACTATTTGCGAATTTGGTAACCCCTCTACTCAACCATACAGGTAAACATTTACGTACCTGCATGCATAAACCCCTCTCAGTACAGATGATGTAACTAGCTCTATATGAGCAGTTGGATTCATAGATACTCATTAATGAACCTATCTTTGGCGACTTGTCCTTGACTTGCTGTGTGAGTGCTGGTTTGGTTGAGAAGCTGAGCTACAGGAAATGTTCACCTACCCATAAAGTCGACATTTCAGAATGTCAGTTGCAATCTCCTCTTCACAAATTGGCTTAAGATTCAAAAGTTTCTTATCTATGGTATCCATCGTCACCTTATGTCTAGGTCTCATCATGTGCATTTTTGGGAAGTTCTCCAGATATCCATCTTTTTGTGGCGTAAGTTTCAGTTTGCAAATTTCTTCCCCAATGCATTCGCCCTAGCATATGACTTTTATCCTATGACTAGGACACCTTACTCAGTTTCTCTTGAGTTGAATCGGTATGAAGCTATGAAAATAGGGGTACTGACCTGTTCAAGTTTTCTTCCTGAATAAGTTCCTTTGTAGGTATACGTCCGCCTTCATGGCTATTAAGTTTTATCGATCAAAGTTGCGTCAGCATGTGTAAATTATCTCATGATTTTTTAGTGATGCTGACTATTTACAAATTTCTATGTGAATATTAGCGCATGATTGTAACCCCACATTAATTGTGTATGAGCGAAATCTCCATCCATAAAAGTTAAGTGCAACTGTGCCTGTTGAATGGTTAGGAAGCTAGCTAAATCCCTATGGCGTAACAAGTTTGTCCTCTGAATAATCGCTACTTACGTCTAAATTAGATAAACCAATAAAAATTGAAAATTTTCTGTTTTCAACTTTCAAGATGATGTGGGTATGATAGCACCTGTTTACTAGATTATTCTGGAAACTCACACAGATAAAGGTGAACTTTTTGCTGAATAACAGAAGACTAAAGGCCTCCATTTAGTCTAGAAAATGACACTTATAAAACAACGCTTACAGATTTTCTATGACGTTTACTCAGAGACTTTGATAAACACTGAATGATGTGGCAAACACCACCCTTTTTCTTCAGAGTCCACTTGCGCCTAGTCTGGTTTTTGGCCTCCACCAACATAAATGAACAAAGTGAAGGTGAAGTTGCAGTAGATTAATGTAATTCATGGATCTTTTTGATCACTTTTGTGATCGCTATTCATTGCTTTTATATTTTGCGGGTGTTAAGTTTAATAAGGACATTAAGCTGGGGAAAGGTATGGTGTTCTTGAATGTCGGGGAACTATGCGGACTACGTATACAACAGCCACCTGAGTTCTTAGACCCTGCTTGGACAAGCATATTCAATGGGGTAGGGCGGAAACTGTACTTATAATAGGTAATGATTTACATAGGGAGCACAGGCACGAAGAATGTATACATGGGCCGGTGACCAAGGAGTGAGAAAAGGTTACTCATCAGTTATCTGTCAACCCATCTATGAGGCAACGGATTGGCATATGTCCAAGCTGGATATCGCTCATCACATCGTGTTCAACCACCACTATCGTGTTCCTTTGCAAACAAGGCGTGTCAGCCAACTCTCAGAAATTGTCAATGTCCAGCTCTTACTACGCTGGACCTCACACTGTCCCTCGAAGATTTTCGGAAACAATTTGTAATAACCAACGCGAAAAAACCAGAACACAGATTATCGACTCGAGAATCCTTAATTCTTATGCCAATATGTAACCAACAATAAGGTTATTATACACACGGTCTAAGAATAAATGTTATAACAATAAATCACGATAATATTTCTGATAGTTTTTCTCCGTCTTCCAACGAACAGCGAACGATAAGACGATAACTGCTGGATTGATGACTCCCGCGAAAAATATGGAGAAGTTGGATTTGAGCAAACAACCATGAATTGATCGTTCAGTCTTCAACTACACTGACAAGGCGCCTGCTATCCTCGTACTTAATCTTCAGGCAATGATCAATCAAAGTTATCGTCAAAAATCCTAATGTTAGAATAAATTAATGAGAAAAACAGTAAACGGTGATGTTACGAAGGAATGCACAGTTTGACCTGAGCTTGAGTAACTATTATCGGGGGTCAATTAGATAAAATACAATCCTTCAGTATGATATTAGATGGTTGAAGGCAATTGGCAGGAAGCCTTGGAACGAGGTTCCATGCCAGTTGGCACTCATCAGCAAGAAGTATCTTGAAGGAAGCCATATCGCTTCTGAGATTTGCACCCTCGTCACTCAGCGCTGCTGAGCTATTCTGGCCCGCTATTTTTCTCCTGTAGGACTGTAGTGGATACTTTGATCGGACACTAGTAACTAGTGCAATGTATCTAGCCGTTTCCTCGTTTCAGACTGAATTCTATCAGTCAGGTTACTTTCGAGTTTCTAAAATATATTGGAAGTATGTAGTTTATGTTTTGATTTCTCAAATGTATTTGTCTTGGCGAATACATGTGAATACATACACACAGTTGGAGGTAATCACTTGGAAGTGACCTTCAACAAATGCATTTAACAAGGGTGAATTCAGCCACCGGACAGGCTCTGATAAGAACCACCGTAAGTCAGTCTTTCGTCCATCGTGATATTACATCGCGTATGTGTGCTAAAAGAACGAAAACCAGACATTTTGAGTGTGATGGCATTATATTCATTTTTTGTATTCTCTTTTCTCGTTTTGAATAGGGCAGGGACAACAGTTTGTGCTGAATTGGATGATGCCATCATTTACTTCGTTGGACTCTCATCATCTGCTCAAAGATCATTATTAATAAGTTGCTATAATTTAATACGTTCCTGTTCGGAAACAACTTTCACGTACTTGCAGTTTTCACAATTGACAGACTTCCAGTTTGAACAAAATAATCAACGTTTGCATGCACCGCAAGTGGGGTTAGGCGATAAGGACAAGAGATTAAAGCCAAAGATTACGTAATCACATGGAAGAAAATAAAGAGATCCAGTTGTTAGGGTAATTCAAGGCTGATAACAACTTCTTTCTGAAGATATAAATCTCTAGAGGATTTCTCGATTTCCACCTAGTGACCAGTATCAAAGATGTGCCAAGCGATGGAACCATTGAAAGCATTTGTTTCCTTGAAATGAAGGATTTTCGCTGCATATCCATAAAGTTGGAGGTGTGCATTTCTCTCTGTTCACCCAGTGTGTCTGCTCCCGCAGACTTCTACAGATTATGTATTCACTTAAAATAAACTTCCACTCTAGCACTTAATGTGTTCACTATGGCCACAGAAATCGGTTCCATGAAAAACACAGGGCCATCCCTTAACATCGAGTGGAATGCACTAAATTTTAGTTGGTAAGCACATCTTCGCCACAAATTATTGCTTATTGCGGCAGTTTTGACTCTTTGCGTTACTTCTGGACGCTGCGTATTTTCACTTGAGGTTAGAGCATCTTGTTGTTACTTTGCTATTTGAAAGCTCCTGGTTTTTGGTGCACAATTTATTGAAAATTCGCGGGTAAATGTGGCTCAGATACACGAAAGTAACATCGTCATCGATAAACAGTATTATATATGTATATGTAGGGTTTCAGGTATGTAGTCACACTCAGTGATATAAGCAAGGTTTCATTATTAGTGGTTCTTCATGTTGAAGAAGCCTCATTACGATACAGAGTGAGGGGTGTATATACAATCGTTAATACTCTCCGTAAGATATCTCTACTGAAATAACTGCCATAGTTAAACTGTCATAGGTTAAGGCATAGTGACCTTGAGCAACCCCTAAGACTTCAGATACAAAAACGTATGATCGTTGCACACTAAAAATATTTGCAAAAGTGATATTATACCATAGTTGTAGCTTATGTATTGTAAGTCTCTTAGTCAATACACAGATAGTTTGTAGGGAAATCGTACCGTGCACGATATACCCAAATGACTGTCGGTTATGGTACTTTGAGATCCATTGATAATTCTGACACTAGTCTCCAATCTTCTCCCATCTCTAACCATACTCCTTACCCTGACTTAACCCTAGACCCAAAACCTTAATCTTAAAAGCCATAACCCTACCTAACATTATAGATTTGTAGAAAAAGTACCTAGTAAATAAGTAGAATACTGCATCTATTCTCTCCAAGTCCAAAATGGCAGACGTGATTTCGTTTCGAATGACATTTCATAGCATTCCCTGCGTCTAGTCGGTTCTTGGAGGTCAACTTTTGAAGGACCTTGACTGTGATACTTTAACCTTGCCAGATAACTTAGATATACCAAGTACAAATAAAACAGTGTCGGTGTTTTGTTACACTATAAAGAAATATGTTATGCGTAGATATTTGTTAGTTGTTATTTGGAAGGTAGTTCACAGTCATAATCTGGTCATAAAATGAAACTCATCAACAGAGTTCCTAATCACGAAGAGTAAACACTCGCTTAATATGTAACTGATATGAGGGCGGTTAATAAAAAATTAGTTGATTTGAAAATACGGAGACATTTTGTGGATTTTTAGTGGCTATAGTCTACATAAATTGATTCCTCGGTTTCCACTACGACAGAGCGAAACCGTTTGTTGCAGTGTGCTAATTAGAAAAGTGTAGACATAAGGTCTTCCAACTTCATTTTAATAGTGCTAAATAAGTGTTATATAATAAAAAGCGTAGTTGTCTCATCGAACTACAAGAGTCCTATCCATATTTCTTGATTTTACTGATGGTAGGGGGTATGAGTTCGCCGTCTTACGTATATATATATATATGTTACTACTGTTTCACTTTGGTGTGATGTATGAAATGTGTATTCGTCCAATGGCTAACTTTATATTTGCATACACAATTTTACAGTAGGTTGTTAATCCGGAATATATAATGGGTGATGAATACGGTGCTGCAGATGATTTCGAATCAGATGAGGAACCCCTAGATGAGGTCCCAGAAGAAGATTTAGATACGAAACCCGGTAAGTTTTGTGTGTTCCTTCTCCTAAATTAACACAGTTTGGTGACTTTTACGTAGTAATTTGTCTAATAGTTCTAGCAATTGATGAATCACAAACTCAATGAACGCTGAGGATGGAATAAACTTTATTAATGGGTCTCATACTGCTTGCTAGTTGGGCGCAAAATATAGTGTCTATTTATTAAAGTTACAGTTGTGATCTTTAATAAGGGCAAATTATGTTGCACGTTCTAATAGTGTTGTTTATCCTAGTTTATATCCCAACCATATTTAGCTATGCACTATATAAAGATAGATAGTATTCAGCTTTTTCCTGAGAACCATGTTTTGTTGTAGTAAGCTCAGTCTTTGACGTTATTTTTCACTGTTAACAGGAAGACGTTGATTTCCCTACTTGAATTATCTCAAAAAACCTCAATTTATCTACCTAGTCTTAATTTATGAAAATTATTACATTTCACAGTCTGTTGTTTTTTACTAAAATTGAAATCAGTTACAATATTTCAGCGCAGCATCCTCGTAACACTATGTTTGTTACATTTGTCCAAGACTACTGTTTTGACAATGAAAGAAGTAGCCATTGAGAAATATACAGTTCTCAGACTAATCTATTATGTCAGCTGTGGCGAGTACGTTGACCCGAAGGAAGTCTCATTTCGTATCACCACTGCTAGCAGATATCGACGAAAAACGAAGGTGTACTGTCAAATATTTTACTGCGGCAATTGAAACTGGGAGGATTACGCTACTGTTCGAGTTGTCTGAAGTGGTCAGATGCAACTTAGTTGATCTCATTTAAATAACTATACGTTTTTTAAGTAGATTACTACTGTTTGACAAACATTGTGACAAGAGAAGACCAAGCGAACATACCAATAGGTGTAAAATCTGTTTACTTCAGGATAACATGAAAAATTCATTCATGCAGGCCTCATGAAAAAGCTGCTTTTGATATTTAAGATAAAAGACCGGATTATGAATTTCTATAGTAAGAGAAAACAAAATATTCTTGTTTTCATGGAAAATAGTTAAAGTGGCGTAAGTGAAGTTATTATATTAGATCTGTTTTCCTTTCCACCCCACCCCCCAACATAAATTACTAAGTGGGACCATTTTTCGTTTTGTTATGTTTGAGGATGATATAACTCCGAATAGTCATACGCTGATAAAAATGTTTTCTGAGTATATGCATAAGATTCTAAAGTATTTCCTACATGTCATTATTAGGATGTATAAGCCCCGGTTATGATAATTGATATAGTTGCTCGATGTATTGCTCTAATACTTATACATCAATATGAAAATTCAAAAATAAAAACCAAAATTGATAATAGTGATTTCCAAAGTACTCTGTTGTCATCGTCGTAGTGTAATATCTCCCAGAGGTTCAGTGACGATGTGTCACATCTTGTGCATAATGTATATCCAGTGGTTTGAGATATGGTATGTAGGAGTTGACTCAATTATTAAAATAAAAAGCAGATATATTAGAAAATATTTTAAGAATAAAGACTAAAACAGTTAACAGGTACAGAGATATTTCTTACACTTAGCATCTGGATAGATTTGACCAATCTTTTGTTCAGTTTAAGAGTCTTTATATCTGCAAGCTTGCTGAATAAAGACTTATAAAATCATTGGTTCAATTTATTTGTTCCTTTGTGAGGTATTCATTTGTTCCTTTATTACATAGAAAATCTGTCAATGCGTACAAACTGAAACCACGTTTATGCAGTATCACCCATAACAATAATGCCAATTGGTGAGATGTCAGTTAATGTATAATTTTTTCTGTGACAACAGTACTACTCAGATTGGAAAATGTTTCTCTGAAGTACATTTGACAGCCAACAGTAGAAAAAAATGACTTAGGTTTGCTAACTAGGTGACCAAATCGGTATTTGCAAGCGTTTGCAAATATCCTAAATTTTTAAGGATAACAGACTGATAGATAAGATTAAACCGGAGTCAAGATTTTCATTTGTCTGTCTGTCTGGATTCAACATAGAACTTGGCACCGAAGTGCAGCAGTTCGAGTTGCCACCTTCCAAATAGCACACAGAGGTAGACAAGAAGATGAGTGAAGAGAATCAATACAGTCTGACAAGTATAAGAGTGAAACAGAATGGGTAATGGTAGAAAGGAATATGAAAGATTAAAGAGACTGAACTGAATACATCTGCGCTGGCCATTGACAACGATTTTGAGCCATGTCATCTGTTGTCTCCAGCCATTGATTCCTAGAGTCCCGAAGGCCCCAACCCGGGAGTCTGCATCTCCCTACCTGACTCAGTTTAACTGTCAAGGATTTCATGGATTGATGCCATGTTTTCGTTTGGCCACCACTGACTCTCTTCCAATCTGAAACTATATCAGCTAGCAATGCCCGTCGGGGGAGGCGGTGGTTAGGCATGCGCAGCACGTGACCTAGCCATCTTAGTATATGTAACTTTATAGCCTCGTCGATTGATTTTCCCTGTTTGCCCAACACTCTACGCCTAACGTCAACATTACTTACCTTGTGAAACCACCTAACGTGAGACAGAGATTGCAGACATCTATGATCGAAAGCAGTCAACCTTTTCATGTCTTCAACGCGTATTGGCCATGTTTCAGAGCCATAGAGAAGGACGGGCGAACTGCTGAGTGGTACACACGTCCCTTGGTTGATAACCCGGATGTCACGCCTACGCCAGAGATGGTGTAAGTCAGCGAAAGCAGCTCGAGCTTTTCGGATCCGTGCTGAGATTTCATCGCCAATCAGTTTGTTGGTGCTAATACAACTTCCCATTTAGGTGAAGTGGTCTACATGTTCTATCACTTCACTCCCTATCGCTAAGTTAGGGGTTCACGTGGTCCAGTCCTGTAGCAGCATCTTACATTTTGTAGGGGCGAATCGCATGCCAAACATACGGAGATTGCTGCTCAAGGTGTTCAGAAGACTCTGTATTTTGTCAGCATCCTCTCCTAACAGGACTATATCATCTGCATATTCTAAGTCCATAAGACTATTCCCTGGTAACAAGTCGATTCCTAAGATTTTCATACTCTCCTGCACGCTTTAACTTAGCTGCAGTCGCCATATAAATGTATCCCACTACTTTTAATAGCTTCGTCACATCCTGTTTGCCGTTTAATCTGATTCTGTTTATGGTGAAAATAGTGTGCTTTAGTTACATCAAAACCAAATATAAGATAATTCGCAGAATTTTAAGATGATTTTTGGACCAATAGTGTGTTAAGCTGGATGTAAGGAGTGTATTTCAAGTGCCAATGAGACCGTTGTTACTTTTTATAAAGTAACACTTTAGGTAATTCTCAGTACATACCCATTCTGCCTTTTTAAACTCTTTCCTTAAGATTAGATTGTATATTTTACGTTTAAAAATCAGAGAAAAAATTCTTGTTTTCGCTAAATTATTACCATCACATTAGGAAACTATCGGATGATAACAGGGTAACTGTCAAAGTCTCGAATACGTTGTGATCACTACGGTCAGTAAAAATAATAGATGTAATGCGTGTTTCAGTGTCTACTCTGTGTGACAGTTTTTTGCGCCCCATCTTAATTAAATATTATGACTAAAATCAGATGAAAATTCAGTTCGTTAATGCATCTTTTTTCACTTAATGAATACCTGGTGTCGTGTTACTAGCACCAAACTTTATGATACATCGTAACCTTGTAAAGTTTAATTTTTTAGAGAACTTGCATGCATTCTGTTATGCAATTTATGTTGGAACTCAACGCGGCAATATCCATTTCTGCAATTGATAATTTGAGATGTTTAACGCAAAAATTATTACCAGCATTCCAATTCTTTCTTAATTTTTAGATGGCGTTACTTATATTACTGCTGATGAAGTACCGCGACTGCCATCAGGTCAGGCCATTGTTGGTCCAGTAGAAAAAAGCAAACGAGTTACTACTCCATATCTCACAAAATATGAACGTGCTAGAGTTTTGGGAGCACGTGCCCTTCAGTTGTCAATGTCCGCTCCTGTTATGGTTGAACTTGATGGTGAACGGGATCCCCTAAAAATTGCAGAAAAAGAGTTAAGAGCTAACAAAATCCCTATCGTCATTCGACGTTATCTTCCTGATGGGAGTTTTGAAGACTGGAGTTTAGATGAACTTATTTTAACAGAATAAAATCTTTGTACTTTAGTTGACTTCTCAATATTGGAAACGCAGTCTAACACTATCTATACAGAGCTACTGTGTGGTAAAATATAACCTTCCGCCGTATTTTATAGATAGCGTTTCTCATTGATTTAAGCACTTGGTTTTCAGTCGATAGGTCATGAGTTTGAGTCCAACTTCATTCTGCGCAACTGGGTAACATTTTCAATCCTCAAACGATAAGTGTGGCTCTTAGCCTGGTGCACGAAAAATCTACTGAGAGTAACTGAGCTGACATAAACAGATATTAATGTATCCCCCTACGTAGATTAGCGAATCAGCACAGAGAACCTTGCGAAGATGTGCATTGGTTCCATTTGTTACACATCTAGAAAGTACTCCTAAAGGAAAACAAAACGCAGTAGTACTACAACAGGCGAAGTATGCTATTTTGAAAAGTAGTGAAGACATTCATAGACATTTTGATAAGTGCATATATCTGTCCTACTCCATCAAGCGTTCCTAGCTACTAGTATTTAGTACTTGGCATGCTGACAACTTTAAAAAGTCAGTCTATATCTATCCACGTTACTCATACTAATAATCCGCAGTGTGGAAAATTGGTGCTTTGTTTGACATACCTACCCGTGAATCTTTTCAAACTTCGTCCCACTTCAGCCAATACTGCTTATGAGAAAGGTGGTGTCCAGGCCTAAGCACCACAAGTCAGCCCATAAAGCCTCACGATCTCATTGACGGATTGTTTCTTTCAAACAAGAACACATCGAACCCCAGCATCATTCATCATATTGCTCTACTTAATTCAAGCACGTGTATGAAGTCGCTTTTGCTTGGAGATTTTAGTCTTTTCGGAAGTTTCTCTTTCAGTGACCATGTCTCAGCGCAAATATTTAGTGAGCACCAAAAATGTTATTTTCCAGTACAAGCCTAAATAATCTTATATATATATATATATATATGTATAGACTTCGTTAGCAATCGGTCCATTAGAGCTGATAATCGAATTAGTCAATACGATCAGTCACTCCCCTCCTTTTCTCTTTGAACTTGCTGTTAATCGGAACCAGTCTGTTAGGACCGTTTTTCACTTACCAGGGACGAAGCTCATCCAAAATATTTAGTCAAAAGACTACATTTACCGTCATCACCTAAAAAGACTATATCGTGTGCATACTTTCAGTTAGTCAACTAGTGTTCTTATAGCAAGTAAATTCCTAGGAAATTGAAGTCAAAGTGCCACCTTTATCAGCGCATGTATAATAATACTAAATGTATGTTTGGGGCCAAATTCTAGAGCACACTACTGATAGTGATAAAATAACTAAGAAAAACACTTGATTTTAGTGTTTCGCTCTAATTGGATTTGTTAAGGTACCACTCTACAGTAAGTTTTCTGAAGAAAACTTACTTGATTTGCCAGAATTTGGATTCCATGTACTTGAATTCGTTTATGACATTTCATAATATTTTGTCGTATTATCAGGAGCAATGTTCAAGTTAATAAAGTTGAGTAGTTTGGAGATTAATATTCTCAAAGAAGCGAACTCCCGATGTTTCTCAATCCGGACATGCGTGCCAGACGTCAAAGTGCACCCAAATATTTTGTCAGCTGGGTTTAGCTTTTTCGGGTGGTATTATCCCAGAGACGAAATTTCGACCAAAATTGACACAAGCCATTAGTTACTCACCATTTGCTCTGGTATTCACAGTCCAGTAACACTATCTACGATTTTATTTACATACAAGAAAATTTGAGGATAATGAATTCATTTCAGCGCATACCTAGTGTTTTTCATCTTATTACCTGTAGTCTGATGGATAACGCTCCGGTATTCGAAGCAACTTAATAACGGACACAATCTGCAAGGTCCATAACTTGTAAATGTTTGACAATCCTTATTTATCTAATTAGGCCTAGACTTTGATAACGACAAAATGCCCCGTCACACTTGTCTCTTCAATTCATGTTAAGTGATGCTTAACTGACTTCATTTACGCCTATTTGTCTTAAGACATCCACCTTGGCATAGGGTACTTCACGACTTCCCCCATACAAATGCCGTCTCATCATAGAACTGAGTACTTTAACGAAAGTGTACTAGGTTATAAACAAATATACCTCTATAATAGAGGAAATATCTTCAGAATTCTTAAGCAGACCTTACTTTCTAAGCCAAAAACACTATATTGTAAGAAGTAATCTGTTGAAAAGTGGGAAAAATGACTACATTTTATACAATATACATTCTAAGATGTTGGTATGACAAACAAACAACTTCCATGTTTTGTTTGACAGCTGACAATCACGTTTCTTGTGCAAAAATGAGAAGTACACGATGATTACAAAAGTTCGAATAAAAATCCGGGTTCAGATTTTTTTATTTGAATTGCAATTCATTGTCCCTCAAAACTAAAATCCACTTGACAAGGTGCGACTGTTTTAGAAGCTAACCAATGCATTTTAAATGTGAGCGGATTGAGCATAAATAGTGCATAAAGAAAGGGTTGCAGTTCAATTTGTACCTAAATTCTTGATTTCATTTATTTTTTATTTATTTATTTTTGATTATAGCCTGATTCCACGCGGCATTTTTGATACAAGTATGAAATTTTCAGCATGTGATATCAGTAGCCCAAATTTTGCAGGCCGACCATATATATAAGATATGAGTCGGCAGGGGATCGAACCCCGGACCATGTGGATGGTCGGCGAGAGTCCTATTCGCTGTGCCACCGACGCCCCATAAAGTAATAAACAAAATGACATAGCGATTGAAAAATTATACTTACCAAGAAGGGAATTTTAGATTGACAGAACAAAGAAAAGTAGAAAAGAAGCAGGTGAAATAATTTTCAAACAAACGATACTGTCAATTATCCTCCTCTCTACTAGACAAAAATTATTAAAGAAAGACAATATATACATGTACAGGGAAAAGTGCTTTTGATCCTGATCAATATCTCTAAATTTATGTACAGAAAATATCAGTGAATATTAAAAAATCAAATCACGCAGATTTTAAAGAATTGTCACGGAAAGCCATACAAGTAATTGCTCTTTGATGTCCTTTGTATTCGATTGGTACTTCATTTGTGTCTAAATTCCATAGACGAGCAATTCCATCTGATGTGGCAGTAATTAAAAAACGAGAATCAGCAGAGAATGCACAATCCCATACCCAATGATGACCAGATACACAGCCTTTCCGGCTTGTAACCACACTGAAATCAGCTGTTTTCAGGATATTAAATTTTCCATCACCACCTCCAGTAGCTATCAAGGTACTATCTGGTGAAAATTGAACTTTTACAGCAAATGAAGAATGTACTTTCTGCCGATGCTATAAGATAAAAAAATAAGCATTAAAATGATTCAATGTTAATAGATCAAATTTATCGCACAGTTTATGGATTCTGGATTGTCACGCTCGTACAGAAATTATGCTTATTGTTTTTGTGTCTCCATTAATAGGAATAACCAGTATTTACAGTTTAAGTGATAACACCGAATAGCTAGCCAGAAATCGGTTGGCTTGAAGTGATTCGGCTCTCTGAGCTGAGTCGGACGGGGTACACTGATGATGAGGTCAGCCCCAGACGAGCAAAACGGCTGTCAGGTGTTTAGATCAACTAGATCTGGTTAATATGGACTTCTAGTTAACATGAATGGTATACGACTACTTGTGGTAATCAGTCAGTAGTATATATGCTTTTGTGCAAATATAGCTCTAATTTAGGATACATCTGAACCACTGGTATATTACAGAAAATCCATAGCGTGTTTGGAAACAAATAACACAACTTCCTCAATATGATACGAGGTCTAGTCGACCAAAACGAAATGTATATTCATCTTGTGTAGGAATGAATTCTAAAAAATCCCATTCAAAACACTTCTATTTCAAATAGTTTATAAAGTATGTGCTATTATGCGTACTTTAGATTACACTAAATCAAGCCAAAATTTAGTAAATTAATAAATAATCAAAAAAATCCTTGTTTTTATCCACTGTACAACCGTGTCAAAAGTCTGTGTGCTTTCAACATAGAACTTTGCACTGATGTGCAACAGATCAAGTCGCCACAGTCCATGTAGCACACAAAGCAAGAGAAGAAAGTACAAGGAATGCAAAATAGAGACAGTAGACAGGGATATAAGACAAAAGGAATAGTAATAACGAAGAACAATGTAGTTATATTGGATATTGTAGGTCACAAGGAGTGGATGCATCTGTGGTAGCCACTAAGAACGACTTTGAACCATATCACCAATTGTCTCCAGCCTGCATTAGTTCTTGCCGTCCCGAGGACCCCGACCGGGTAGTCTACAGCTTCCTACGTCGCTTAAACTAACTGTTGTGGATTCTACTGACTGGTACCATATCAAAAGTACGGAAAGCGGATAGATTTTAACTTAGCATAAACACTTGAGATGGATTATTTGACGTTATGTGTGTTCGACCTATCATACAAATTGTCAGATGTTAAGTACAAAGCACACACCAATTAGATGGCTAACTACAAATATGAAAATAATTCCAAGCTACTATTATCTATTGAAACAGGTATTTTTAATTCCCGGCTAGAAGGAATATTCACTTGTAACATATTCTTGTGGTTAGAGCTTTACGTTTCCCCTTTTTATTTATTGAAAAGTTTTGATTAACTCCTTGTTTCGAGGTTTCAGTATTGTCTGCCACTGAAATCCTAATATTATCCCAGTAATGGTTAATAATAAAATCCAAAATTATATCAAGACGCGTTAAAAGGCCCTAATGAAGTCCGTCTCGGTGTACACACACAAAGAAACCAATTCGATAGAAAAAGTCGGGTAGTGAAAAATAACAGATCTCAATGACTTCAACCCATGAAATAACAAGCAATTACTATTTCCCGCTGGTGTAATGCATAATACCGAAATGTTTAAAGTTGTGAACGTTAGATAAGAATGCTATCACTCAACAATGAACTAAGAAATTCTAGAGGGGGTGCAAAATATATTCTTTGAATACTGAGAATGTCGTACAAGGCTTATAATGTTAACAGGACTTGAAAACAGTTTCAAAGTACTATCACTGATAATACATCTCTCCGCTCCGTCCTCCTTTATGGCTGTGAGACCTGGTCATTGAGAGTGGAAGACATGAAAAGGTTAGCTGTCTTTGATCATAGGTGCCTGGACTCTATCTCCCGTGTGAAGTGGTATAATAAGGTGAGCAATATTGAGGTTAGGCGTCGAATGCTAGGTAAGGAGAGGAAATCAATCGGAGAGGCTGTGAAGCTACATCAATTAAGATGGTTAGGACATGTGTTACGCATGCATGCCTAGTCATCGCCTTCCTTGACAATGGGCAATGTTAGCTGACATGGGGTCAGGCTGGAAAACAGCTAGGGGCAGTCAAACCAAAACATGGCGGCACCAGTCAATGAAATCCACAACAGTTAGTTTAAGCCACGTAGGAAGGTGTAGACTTCCAGTCTGGTTGGGGTCATCGGGACGGTAAAAACTAATGGTTGGAAACAATTGGTGATATGGCTCAAAATCGTTTTCAATGACAGCGCAGATGCATCCACTCCTTGTGACTTATGATTTCCAGTGAAACTATATTGTTCTTCGTTATTAATATTCCTTTGTCTCACACCTCTGTTTACTGTCTCTAATATGCATTTCTTGTACTTTCTTCTCTTGCTTTGTGTGCTACATGGAGTGTGGCGACTCGAACTGTCGCACATCAGTGCAAAGTTCTATGTCGAAAACAGACAGACAGACCACTGGAGAGATGCCAAATCTTGAGAAGCCAGTGTACTGTTATGCTTCTAGCTACCATATGAAAAAGTTAGGTCTAGTTCATTAGCATCATTCACGTCTATAAATTAATTCAAAAGATCTAAGTATGAGCGAACGGTAACTTCTTAATGAGTAGATAACATTATTCTTTTGAAAGAGTCGCCTTGGTGTAGTTAATCTAATAGTAAAAAACGTCCCATCATCATGACTTTTCATAAATACAGATATAACTACACATACTTCTAGCAACCCTTGGTTAATCATATAAACCAAATAAAACTTTAAGAAATAGTCATTTACTTCATACTGTACTTTAGATAGACATTTGAAACAGACAGATAAAAATCACCGAGTAAAGCTTCAGTAGTCATTCCATTGAGGATACATATATGAAAAGAAGATATTCGAAAATCATTATTTATGCATATGCATATTTAACACCTTTTTATGATGTCTCCTACTGGTGAGATTACGAGTTCATGTAAATCAAATTGTGAAAATCACCATAAAAATCACTACCGGGAGGATATTTATATTTTAACTCTATTTTTAAAACATGAACCTAGGGAAGGTAGTCGCTGACTCCGATCAATCTGAGTCACGTAAAAACAAATAATTGAACTAATGACTCAATTGTCTATTTAGAGTAGAAGCAATATTTTCCAGTTTATACACAGAATGAATGACAAAAGTGATAAAATATAGACGTTCATATGCCGAGACTGTGAGCAAAAGATCAATTTAACTGGGCGTATATACTCATATATGTATAAAATGACAAACCTTTTCCAAAGGATTCCAAGCAGAATCACCAGTTAGAGACCAGACAATTAGTTGGCCATCTGAGTTAACGGCAGCTAAAGAAGTTACATCTTGGTCAATAGAAAGACTATGAATAGGTTCATTCCAGGTATTAGTAGATATAGATTTAGCAGCATTGTTACGTAGATCCCATATTATAACTTCCCCTTTGTTTGTACCCATAATAATTTCATGCTGGTTACGATGAAGTAACATGGTATTAATACTCGAAGATGCCTAAATAAGAACATGAAAAATGCGAAAATTATTGAGAGTTCTTTTAATTTAAATGACTAACACTTTTGTCAGTGATAAATTCGAAGCAAACGTTCCCTGACAATGGTTACCAAGATATTCAAGGAAAACATGCTCAATTCCAAGTTTTGGAACACTATTCTCCTGAAAGAAACTATTCGATCGGCAAGTGAAAGATGAATTAACGCATTGGGCCACGTAAACGTGTACATTCCTATGGTTCCTAATTTATTGCTTTCGACAAAATTTGCACACAATTCTGACCCTAGGCGTTAAAAAGGACTGGTGGACTGTCAGTCTAAATTTTAGTTAGAGTTAACACAGTAAATTTTTGGTCCATCGATATCTGGACCAGATTTTTGACTCACTCATCATATGTACTTGTGGAGATGATGACATCTCCCATACTATGTATTCTGCTTGTAAAACAAGCTCCTGAAAACTGTCTAGCATCTTTAGCGAATGGAGATTGGTAACAGACCACCTTGCTAGAAATCTTTTAAAATCACACACTAGGTCCAGTAAAACATTTAAAAGGGAATAGAATCAAGGTGTCTGGGCATAGCGGAGGCATTAGCAACCCAAAAATTCTGCTTACTGATGTGTCCAGAAGCAATATGTTCGACCTTCGCTTTTGCTATGGCCAATACAACCAGCTGACTTAGCGTATCAAAATCATTATTATCTGTTTCCTTTTTTTAGCTTCCGATTTACTTCCTTATCTGTAATCTCCATTCACAATTACGTCACTTCATTTAGTTACTAAGTGCGTTCTGAGCACTTACAGGACAAAAACAAAATCGGAACCTATTCACTCTTTTAAAATAGAAAAAAAATATGAGGCCTATTTGTTAATTTTGTCAAAAACAAAAAAATGTGACAGTCTTGCAGATCGCAACCGGGAAATTTGAAGTTCTGTACCATCAAGGCTAAACGTTGTCCATTAGCATGATATTTTATTCATACTGCCTAATTCCTCTCTATTTTTATTGCCACTAAGATTGAGGTATATATATATATATATATATATATATATATATATATATATATATATATATATATTCATGCAAACGAAAATAAACAAGGCTTTCGCTTTTACTTCACTATGTTTAGATAAAAATATACGCCTAGCTGACAGGCTACACAGGAAAAACTGTTGGATAAACAAATTTCACTCAGAATACGACTCCAGAATGACGACCCCATCCTAAGCTACAAACGCTCACACTACTTAAACGTTACTTCACCCAAACATTTATCATACTATACTTAATACATAGCTGCACACACAAAAATTACGAAGTTAGTTTAATGTGTGTAATTTCATATTAATATGCTTGTTAGATATATCGCACAATGAAACAGTATTTACTGGGTGACCTTTCAAACACAATCTGTTGTTCATAATCATATCAATTATAACTACGCAACCTCGAAACTTCAGTTTTGTGGTCTGCTTTATTCCCTGCCATTCATTGTAGGGGTAGTAGAATTTTCCAGATGTCTTGGATAGGTGTTCAGTTATTCCTGTCACATATTTGCAGTTGATTTGATGAATAAAGCTTCTGTTATCAATTTATTCTTCCACCTTGTTCCATTAGATTTTAAAACTGTCTTCTTATTGTGTGTAATTGCATGTAGTGCTACAGCTGGACTATTCTTCAGATTTCTTATCTTATTTGAGTAAACTAATCTAGATTTTGCTAGATTTTTGTACTTCGTCAGTCTGACTGACCCTCTTCTACTAATTTCACCTATTTACTTGACCTGACAATCATTGCAGTATATTAGAAGAACTACATTTTTTGTCTAATTGGATCCGCAGGATCCTTTAACCGACAAAGCTTGTTTCTAAGTAAGTTTGCTGGTTTGAAGACCACTTTTATTCTTGCACTGTTAGGAATTTTCCGTGAGGTTTCGGAGGTTCATTCTCTGCACGAAAGTACAATTGATGATTGAAATTCTTTAATGTTGGGTTTATCATCATTCTGTGCATGTTGGTCATGTACATCGCCATTATTATTATCACTGGTACTACCATAATTGTTATTATTTTATTTTTACATTTTCCTACATAATTATTGATTGATTTATGAGGGTAATTGTTAAGCTGTAAGTTTATTTAACAGGGTGTGGTGGGGGGAGGGGGAGATTGATAATGTAAGCTTTATTTGTCGAATCGACTGCAAACACATGTGATAGGAATAATTTAACACCTCTACCGAATATCTGGAAAATTCTATCACCCTTAGGACGAACAGGAAGGAAGGAAGGAAACTATGAGACGAAAATAGTTATAATTGGTGTGATTACGAAAAATAAATTGTGTTTGAAACGTCACCCAGTAAATAATAACGTTTCATTGTGTGATAATTCTGATAAACAAATAAATATAGAATGATGCTAGTTTACTGAATAGAAAATTTCGTGTATAATCCAAAAAGTGATAACGTTGCCTCTTAATGTAGATCATGAATAACAGAGTGCAGGTAATCCACTGGTCACATTTTACAATATAATACTTCTTTAAACAAAAAATCCAACGAAATACCTATGATTACCTGATAAATACGAGATATCCATATATTCCCACCCGCTCGCCAATCTATAATCTTTGCTACACGATCTTCTGCACCTGCGAACATCCAGTTTCCTGTGTCATTAAATCCAACAGTGTTTACATTTTTCGTAAAGTCTGAGACCGTTACGAAAGGTGTTCCAGGACCCTGAACATCATAAACACGAACTCTCCCATAGCCAGCAGCAGCTAGATAATGCCCATCGCGCGAAAATGCTAAGGCGTTTACCTGAAATCTTCACTTTTAATTACAATTTTATGGCTAACTTGGGACTCATTGTGTTGGAAACCTTGGATGTATATTCCAGTATTTGGTTGCCACATTTTTATCGTGTGATCGAAACCCCCAGTTGCCAAAGACAGATTGCTGTCATAGTCATTCTTCATGATTCAGTTGTTTGATATAAATATTGATTGCTTAGAAATCTGGAATTTAGGATAATAAAATAAAAAAGTCACTATAAATCGATCCTCAGGTACTTGTATTTAAATACTATTAGCGTTTTTCTTTATGATGAAGGACAACGCTAATTGCTATTTGTTTATAACAAGAATACAGTAAGGCTGTGAAGCTTAACTGATAGTCGATATACGTATCAGCATTTCCAAGATAGCAGTGAAAAGTGATTATCTATGAAATCGTTGGAATTGGAAACAAATCATGCTGATTTCATAATAACTCGTTTACTGGATACATCACACAATGAAGGTATTATTTACGGGATGAGGAAGTCCTTCATACACCTTTCTCTATTCATGTTTTATCAGTGCATTCACTAACTGGAACCAGTGAAAACGGCCAGGTTTAACTCGGTCCAATTTGTGTCATAGTCAGTTAGACCAATATACAAAAAGTGAAACGGTAATTATAATAATAAATACTATTTGTGACAGGACTTTTGCTAAACCGGTTGAAATTCCACTTCAGCTGGAATAGACTAAAAAATTCATTCATTGATAGGCAATAGCCTTTTGGAATAAATAACTTCCGATGCACTAAGAGGCTGTCACAGGTAAAATTACTATGATAACTGAAAGTCAAACAAAATGACGACAATTATCCTAATATGAAGAAATGAGGTTACATAAAATCAAGGTAATACAAACTGCGTCACCATAAAGAAGGCAAAAGACGGAATGGGTTGCTCGAGTCAAACCTTTAATTGTCAAATCTTGACGTTCCACAGATCACTAGAGGTAAAGTTCAACATTGGCGTCCCACAAGGGCAAACGCTACAATGACCCACGAAAAATAGAATTAAAGCGCCGATGGAAAAGACCAATCCCGCATATTATTCGTTCATACAAGTAATGAAATGGTGCCAAGGTCTCATGTTCTCACTCGTATTCGGCTTTTATTTATGCAAGAAATAAGACTGATTTTAAAAGGAATGTCTCGATATATAAATTTGGCTGTTGTTGTCAGCTACGTTTGGAGGACTGTAACACGAGAGATAGCGAGCCAAACTTGGCTATACTATATAACTGTCGACAAAAGTACTAGTCGAAATACGGAAAATAAAGGCTGGCTCCAAACAGCGAAATAATAGGAAAATAACATGGGAACTAAACACGGAGACTGAAAAGCATTGACATTTGGTAGGACACATATCGCACAGTTAGAAATCATGACAATTATAAACTCTGAAGATTATTCAGATTTCAGATATGTATAACATGGCACATGTATTTGGCACACGTGAACCAAAGAACCCAGATAGAAGATCAAGCAGAGTTTGATGTGCAGTGATCCAAAGCTGATTTTAGACTGATTTCCTTGGAGTTAACTATGTAATTTAGTAGTCGTACCACAACTCCATACGTCAGTGACGTTTTCTTAATTGGAATACATGGGAGTTTAAGAAAACGAAACAACTTCAATGAGGTATCTATGGACCTATTAGTTGAATTGAAAGATCTTTATTAAAACGGTCTAATGTTGAGAAGAGGGGTAGGAGTGTGACTGTCAGTGTTCTAGCATTCATATGTGACACGCCTGCTCGTTCTAATGTAAAACAAACCGTCGGTCACAATGGAAAAACTGGTTGTGATAAACGAGACGTTATAGGTTGTCGTTTGGAGGGTAGGATGACATTTCCTAATGGGAACCAGGGAGTGAAGTGACAGAACATGTTGACCACTTCACCTATTTGGGAAGTTGTATTAGCAACAACGGACTGATTGGCGATGAAATCTCAGCACGGATCCGAAAAGCTCGAGCTGCTTTCGCTGACTTACACCATCTCTGGCGTAGGCGTGACATCCGGTTATCAACCAAGGGACGTGCGTACTGCTCATCAGTTCGCTCCGTCCTTCTCTATGGCTCTGAAACATGGCCAATACGCGTTGAAGACATGAAAAGGTTGACTGCTTTCGATCATAGATGTCTGCGATCTCTGTCTCACGTTAGGTGGTTTCACAAGGTAAGTAATGTTGACGTTAGGCGTAGTGTTGGGCAAAGAGGGAAAATCAATCGACGAGGCTATAAAGTTACATATACTAAGATGGCTAGGTCACGTGCTGCGCATGCCTAACCACCGCCTCCCCCGACGGGCATTGCTAGCTGATATAGTTTCAGATTGGAAGAGAGTCAGGGGTGGCCAAACGAAAACATGGAATCAATCCATGAAATCCTTGACAGTTAAACTGAGTCAGGTAGGGAGATGCAGACTCCCGGGTTGGGGGCCTCGGGACTCTAGGAATCAATGGCTGGAGACAACAGATGACATGGCTCAAAATCGTTGTCAATGGCCAGCGCAGATGTATTCAGTTCAGTCTCTTTAATCTTTCATATTCCTTTCTACCATTACCCATTCTGTTTCACTCTTATACTTGTCAGACTGTATTGATTCTCTTCACTCATCTTCTTGTCTACCTCTGTGTGCTATTTGGAAGGTGGCAACTCGAACTGCTGCACTTCGGTGCCAAGTTCTATGTTGAATCCAGACAGACAGACAGGGAACCAGACACTTAGAAATGATAAGACATTCCGTGGTCAAGTTCAAGCAAGTCACCATCGGGGCAGAAGCTGTCTTGAGGAATTGCCACTTGACATGGTAAAATCGTTTCCCTTGGAGCCAATGCATCTAATATACCTTGGTATTGTTAAGAAGTTGATGTTCCTTTGGTAGGATCTTGCAGCACGGCGAGAGAAGCAAATGGATAGTAAGATTACTGCAGATATTCATAACGGACTGTAAGTAGGGAACATATTCCTTCTGATTTTCAGAGGAAATGTTTGTCGTTAGAGGACCTTAGCCAGTGGAAAGCAACTAAGTGTATACTTTTCCTACTATATTTGGGTTCCGTCTTACTCAGGAACATTCTACCATGCCACCTGTACGCCAGTTTCAGGAGATTTTCCCTGGCAGTATACTTACTTTCGAGTACCAAATACAGCCGACTGTTTTCGGACGCTGCTCGGTAAGTACTTAAAAATAATTATGCGTTTGTAGATACATATATGGAAATCATTAACCTGTGCACGAAAATGTTGAACATTATGACAGAAAATATCGACAACAAACCAACATTCCTGCAAACGGGTACTTAACACTGGAGTTTCCGAATGAGAATGAAGACCAGTTAGAGACGAAAAGTACAAACAGCAATATGTGAGTTGACATATTTAATTCTTATTTCTTGTAGACTGCTAAGATGGTTAGCTGCCTTCAGAGTGATCCAAAGTTATCACTTGAGGTCATAATGCACCATGTTCTAAACCTAAAGTGGGTTTGAAGTTTACATTCCAGGGGACTTTGACAAAGTCAAGCATTGTGTCTTATGGCTTTCATAAAATTATGAGATGTAAGTTTCATTAATGAAGTAATTAGTTCTGTAGCTGTAATATTGTCGAAGTTCTCTCGCCAACTAATGACGTCGAGAGAGATTGGTGTTATAATGGATAAGGCCACGAAATCGTACTTTCATAATTTGAAAGATCGTGCCCAGAGGCGTAAGCGGAAGCAAAGAAATTCAGGTAATATTGCGAGACGCCTGTTTACTTTTACAAGTCAACGTTTATTCAACATGTAGTAATCACAACATTGTTTTCATTTTTAGGCAAATGAAAAAGATACCAGGGGATATAAAGTGGCAGTTATGTAAGTAAACTTTTATAAATGTAAATGCTTAGAATGTGCTGAACACCATTTTTCATCGACTACTATCTTATTTTGCTTATTTGCAGGATGCTACTAATGGATCGCACTTGACGGGATTGCAGTGACATTGTACTACAGTTTATAAATACAAAAGTCTCTCAATTATAAAAACTGATTTTTTTCTGTAAACTAAATGAATTGTGCCGGCGTAGGGCACAAAAGATGATAGTAAGTAGCAGTCTTCACGTTCTAAAATAATGCTAGTCAGTGCTGAAAATGATCTGAAAGGGCTGAAATAAAGCTGATAAGCTAACCCAGTATATTCTGATTTACCCCTGAAAATGTCTAGAAAAAGAACACGGTGCTGAATTAGTGCCGCTATTGCAACTACCAACGATAAGTCATTCTGAATATCGAGTTCCATCCACTCAAGAAAATATAAGTGATATGCAAACCCAACCTCGAATTCACGAAAACATATAACTAGCCGACGCAGGAACTCATCATGACCTAGAAACTGACTGTAGCCTCTTTCTATCACCGGCGCTTCAAGGTCATTCGAAACACTTGAATTGGTGCATCAGTCCAATGTCCAATATCGTTTATACGAAGTAGTATAAACCAATTTGATTTCTTTGCTCTCGTTTCTTGATTGTGAGGTACAAGTTTCTGATCTGCGGTAAACTTCTGCGTAGCTCGTCCCGTCACTCGACTGTCGTAGCTTTGGTTGTAGTACTGGGATTAATTATGTGTGGTTTGTAGTATGAGGTATGTTAAGACTGTTACTACTGTGAATGGAGTTGATCCTTTCATCAGTTAGTCCTCCGGTATCGTCATCAAAAGAAAAGAGATAATAATTATAGATGTAATTAGTGAAGTTATCCAGACTAACAGACAGAAAAAGAAATAAGAAAACGTAACAACAGTCAGCTGATTAAATTTGAAGAATAATATCAATAATATATATATATATATCAGTAACAATGATAATAATAGGTGTAGCTAAAGTTGTCAGAAGAGTAAGACGGGAGAGAATGTAAAGAAGTAAAACGGCATAGTGGTTAGGACTCTCGCCGTCCATGCACATGGTCCGAGGTTCGATCCCCTACTGACGCACACCTGGTATCTATGGTCGGCCTGAAAAATTTGGGCTACCGGTATACACGCTGAAAATTCCATACTTGTACCAAAGATGCAGTGTGAATTCAAGCTGTAATCAAAAATAAAAATTGCCTAGCCGTGAATGGTGTGTGAGATTTTAAGGAGATAGGCCACTTAGATGCAGTACTTGTGTCGCTGCATGGTTGTCCAGCCCTTGCTTCTAGGCCCCCACAGACGGTGCCATAGCCGCATGTGACAATAAGGAATTCCAAGGACGGCAAACACGCAGTAAAAAGAAGTGGGAGCGCAGCTGGGTCCTTGCCCTCTGGTGAGATATCACTCTGGGATCTCCACGAGGGAGCCTATACCTACTCAATGGTAGAACACCTTTGTTTGGGTGATTCTGGTCATTTGTTATTTTGTAGGCAGTAATCGAATCCCTCCTAAGCCGACGGTAGCTAAGTGTGAATAGGCCTAATATCTTCAGCCTTTCAGCATATGGTTTGTTTCGGAGACCAACCACTCCTTTTATTACCCGTCGTTGGAATCTTTCCAAGAGGTTGGCGTCTCTTCTAAGCTGTGAAGGTGCAATGATATTATGGACCTCAAGGTGTGGCCTGACGTATATTTTGTACAACCTTAGAAAGAGCTCAGGCGTGAGTGCACCTAACTGTCTATGTGTAAAGTGTATGACCGCATATGCCTTCGCTACATCTGCCGCTTGTGTCCATTTTTTCCGTTAGAACTAGACCTAAGTCGCATTCTGACGTCGTGCAGGACAAGCTTTCATTTCAGAGGGTGTAACTTGCATTCTGCAGTCTACAGGTGCGCAACTTCACTACCTTGCACTTTTTCAGGTCGAACGTCATGCCACTGGCCACTGCCCAGTTTTTCAGAAGGTTCAGATCTTCCTGCAGTCTATCTGAGTCCTCCGGACAGTTTATCGCCCTCCATATCTTTACGTCGACAGCGTACAGGAGAGTCGGGCAGCTAATACGGCATGGTAGATCATTGATAAAAGTCAAAAACATCAGTGGTCTCAGGATAGAACCCCGCGACACTCCTGATGACAAGCTGTGCCAAGATGATCGGACTCGAATGACCTTAGTGCGAAATCGCCTGTCGGCTAGGTAGTCCTTTAACCATGACAGAAGTGACTTACCTATACCTGCCTGGCTTATTTTGTTTAGGAGAAGGTCATGATGAACAGTCTCAAGTGCCTTCTCAAAGTCTAGGAAGACCACGTACCTGAGTTCCAGGTATTCATCGTGGTCGATCTGACTCTTAGATGCGCGCAACGTAAACCAAGCCTTCCCCATTGCTTGCAGAATACGTTGCGTGATTCTCTTTAACCATGATGACTTCCTCTTAGGCTGTGTTGTGACTAAAGAGACTGTATCCGAGATTGTTATATGAATAATCTTTTTTACCACTTCCAAGTGTTCATCCAGAGATAACTCAGTCCAGCCTATGGTCCTCTCTGCGTCGGACAGAAGCCCTCGCATTCCAGCATAGCCAGCCTTGTTATAACACAGACATAGTCGCATAACGTCTCACTGCAAGTGCTCATGGGGAACAAGATCGAATCCTATGACTGCGGGTTCACTACTTCCTAGTGAGTTCATGATCTGGAAATTATCGCCAGGTAGTTGGTGACTAGTCAGGAAATAATCTAGTTTCGATGGATTTCCACTAAGGCCCACCTAGTGTCGTCTCCAACATTCAAGTATGGCAAGCCATACCTCTTTGCAGATGACCTCAAAGTTGTCTATGATTTCGATTATAATGATATGAACATTGTTAGTAAAATCCAAGAAGACCTAAATAGTCTATGTAATTGGAGTGAAAAGTGGCAGTTAACGTTCAATCCAGCTAAATTTGGGATAACATACTTCGGACGTTGGAAACCTAGCATGTTTCTATACATGTACGGTGACCTTGTCTC